TCATCCATCCATCCAACTTTCTCATCCATCCATCATCCATCCATCATTCAACCCTTTGTACCTGAGCAATGAAAGGAGTGAGATTATTGGGATGACCTTGAGGATCCTCCCCGATCAATCCGGATTTGTGCGATCCCACAGGATTGAAGTAACGGAGAAGGATCGCGTTGAATTTCTTCACGATGGATGGAAAGATGGAAAAAAATAGTTTGGATGGATGAATGAACTTCTACGGATTAAATAAACAAACGATAAACCAACAAACCATCCAATCAACCAACAGAACACTCAACCAATCAACTCACTCATTCAGCCAGCCAGCCAATCAGAACAGACCTTATTGGCCACGCACACATCTCTAATAATTTGCTCAATCATATATTTGGTCCATCCGTACGGGTTGGTACACTTTCCTGCCGGACAACTTTCACTAATTGGCAGTATTTCCGGGTCCCCATACACTGTGGCCGAACTCGAAAAGATGATGTTTGTAACTGCAAATTCTTCCATTACCTAGGTAATTGTGTGTATTTATTTATGTGTATTCGTGTGCGTGTGTGTGTGTGAGTGTGGTAAGTGCGTGGTGTGTGTGTATGTGTGTGTGTATGTGTGCGTAGTGTGTGTGTGTGTGTGTGTGTGAATATGTGTTTGTATTGACGTGTGTGTGAATATGTGTTTGTATTGACGACAACACCGAAAAACCACTCTAATTCTCACTCCAAACTAATCGTTTATTTTCATCATCAAAGAACTAAAAACTACAACATCACAAAAGAATCAGCAAAAACAACACCAACGAACCTCTAATAATACCAAAGAACCAACAATATTATTTTTATAGTAAGCCAAAGGAATAAGGCAAGATTCTCCCACAGCTTTCAGGCCAGCAAAATGCATAACAGCAAAGAATTTGTACTGCAAGGAAAATTATTTAAAATTATTTATTCATCCACTAATTCATTCACTCTTTCATTCGTTCATTTATTCATTCATTCATTTATTCATTCATTCATTCACTCATTCATTCATTCGTTCGTTCGTTCGTTCATTTATTCATTCATTCATTCACCCATTCATTCATTCAGCCAGTCAGTCCTTACTTTTTTAAAAACCCCTTGCAAGGCATGTTTCTCTAGTATATCGACTTTGTAAAATGGGATATCTTTGCCAGTTATTTTTTCAATTCTTCTGACGCTTTCTGAATAATAATTAATTAGAGTGATAATAATTACATGAATTATGATAATAACAATTAAAATATAGAGTAATAAAACATCCTTATATTTTACTGAAATAATTATTGTTAATGTTGTTGTTCATTTTTATGGTACAACAAATCAATCAAGCAAGCAATTAATCAATTATATAATCATTAATCAGTCAACTAACCAACCAACCAAACAAACAAACAACCAACCACCTATCCAACTAACCAACCAACCAACTAACCAACCAACCAAACAAACAACCAACCAACCAACTAGACAACTGACTCACCAATGCTAGAATTACAGAGGTTGTCAACAACAACGACATTGTATCCCTCATTAAAGAGCTCCACAGTGGCATGGCTTCCGATGTAACCTGCTCCTCCAGTTACTAGAATATATTTTTGACTATTATCTGATCTTTGGTTACAGTCCTCAGCCTCCATCCTTATTTGTGAAGATGGAAATTATTTTTAACTAGATTTTTTGTCTTCCCAATTAGTTGTTGTTGTTGTTTATTCAGAGTTTATAACTCAAGTTGAGTTTCTTTTAATTGTGCTTCTCTTTTAGCAATAATCTGTAAAATTTACAGAAAACAATATCTGTCATACATACACTTACAGTTACACACACATATAAATTTATTTTATTTTAATTTATATATTAAATAAAAGAATAATAAAACCTCTTTTGATTAATTAGCCTCCAATTAATGTTTTATTTATTAAAAAAAAATTTATTGGAATAAATGAAAAGGGAAATTTGATGAGAATTTGATGATGAATGAGAATGATTCAATCATTGAAGATAATTTACTAAGTAAATTTCACTTATATTTGGTGGGTGGATTTTTAATGCTAAATCATGCTAGCCAGATGAGTATAATATAAATATACACGTAAATAATTATATAAATAATAATTATATAATAATTATATAATTTTAAAACAAATGCAAACACTAACAACCGTCCCCAACCGCCTACTCGTCCCAATTTAAAAACCTGTTTCGTGGCACTGTTTACAGCTGATTAATAGACACCCAGCGTAGTTAGATATTCAGCATGCGAACAGGTGTTTTTCAATGTATGGAAAACCAAATAAAATTGATAAACATTTTGAAAATGTTCGTGGCACCGTTTTTTCGAAATAATCGCAAAACAGACCTTTCTGGGGACTTCTTTACGTTTATTATCAATAAAAAACAAAAAAAAATTGAAAATTAAACCACGAAATAAAAATGTTATCAAATGTATTACAAAAAGTAAAAAAAAAACTTAAAGATATCATTTA